CGCAAGTGTAGAGAACGAGTCCAATAAAAAATGAAAACCATGAACAGACTGTCCCGAAGTTATTTTGGGAACAAATTGTACTACATGACTGTACTTGCTGATACTGACGCTGACGGAACACGAATTAGAGTTGAATACTCACGAAGTCTTGTACATGCACATCATTATGCGCCGGTGTTGTGGAGTAAGCAGGTACGTCAGTCACCAATCCAGCTTCAGCTCCACGCTCGTACCAGTTATATAGCTACAGTAATATGAAAAGAAGCGTGAGAATGCAGCACAGCTAGCGGTTATGCATAACGCGTGTAGTGTGAACCTTTGCAGTGTATCTGAGAATGGTAGCAGTAGATGAATGTGGCAGCTGTGAGTGCGTGTGAACAAAAATTGGTGAGTGCGTATTATTTAAAAAGTGTGAGTGCTACAACATTTTCTTTTTGCTTGCATAGAACAGGGTCACGTGTGCGAATATATACAGCTTCCAACACCTGCAACTGCTTAAAGAAACGCGCGTGACAAATAACACTAAACCAGGAATCGTCAAACAACTTACGACAATCCGGACTGGACACCAAATGCTTGTAGATGTACGACTTGCTCTTGTCGATGTCGAACTCCTCCTCGTCCGTATGACTCTCATCCTCCACTTCCTGTTCCTGCTCACCCTTGCTTTCCTCCTGACCATCCTGTTCATCCCCATCATCATCCTCCATCTCCATCTCCTCATGCCATCGCTTCTTTCTCCTTGACGTGTTCACTGCTGCGCCCTTGCTTTCCTCCTGACCATCCTGTTCATCCCCATCATCATCCTCCATCTCCATCTCCTCATGCCATCGCTTCTTTCTCCTTGACGTGTTCACTGCTGCGCCCGTACTACTGCTACCATTCTCAGATACACTGCAAAGGTTCACACTACACGCGTTATGCATAACCGCTAGCTGTGCTGCATTCTCACGCTTCTTTTCATATTACTGTAGCTATATAACTGGTTGTTTTAGTGATTCTTACTATGTGACGATGTTCCACTGATGATGGTCACACGAAAACGTTCTGGAATTGTTTCATTTTAATTGTTTATACATGGTTATGAGTGCACAATTGATATTGTTCATTGCTATTTTACGACTGTTGTCTCCTCGTCGGTTATTTAAATTATTATTATTATTATTATTATTCCTGATATCGTTGATTGATGTAAGGTTTCTTTCAGCTCTCATTTTCTCGCGCTAGTTAGGGTCTAAATTATTACTTACATTGTGCGTATATATATTGAGTTTAGAGCTAATGTTGATTTGCCAGTAATCCTCTGATGAGATGGCGACGAAAACGTTTAGGAACAAGCTTCTTTATTTACATGAAAACAAGTTTTGCTAGTGGTGTTTGTACTGAGTGCGCAGCTTACTCTATTTATTGCGTTGATTACATTTTGATCTCCACGTAAGTTTTTTAATAATAATATTTTATGACTTGGGGCTCCCGCGTGCTAGTTTGTACGTGAAGTGTGTGGGTACAGTGAGGGCTGTGTCCCACCCGCCTGTGTGGATTCACAGGAAGTGTGAGTTACGAAGTCTGGAGAAAACGTTGAACGGTCTCTGCTTGGATGACGACTACACCATAGCTCAGTGGTTAGAGCATCGCTGGCTACAAGCAAGGGTCCCTGGTTCGAGTCCTGGTGGTGACAGTCAATTTTTTCTTCAGACTTTTCCCGTTTGTCTCTTTCCCTCAAACCAGTTAAAATAATAATAATAATAATATTAACTGGTTTGAGGAAAAGAGACAAACGGGAAAAGTTTGAAGAAAAAATTGACTGTCACCACCAGGACTCGAACCAGGGACCCTCGCTTGCTAATAATAATAATAATAATAATAATAATAATAATAATAATAATAACACAGCAATGTGCTATTCTGGGCACCCTGAGAATTGTGCGGTTGGAAACTGGTCATGATTGGGAGAGTGGCATGGTCGGAATGGTCGGTTGACCTTATGTTAGCCTGCCCGTAATGTCTCGATGTGTCTCAGTCTGTGTGTTTTATGATTGTGGTGCATCATGTGCTGTGTGACGAGCCGAGAGGCGTGAATTTCTGCCATATGCCCCCAGTCATGTATTGTCTTTCTCTGCATATGCCGTTTTATCTCGTCTGAGTTTGTCTTGCTTGGAGTTTCCCATGTGCAGCATGCTTGGTGTTTACTACTTGAGTAGTTCTGTTATACATGACTGTGATTTTATACATGACTGTGATTTTATGTGAGTATCGAAGTTGGTATACAATGTAGTTGAATTTTTCTCTCATGAAGTTTATCAAAATATGTTCAGGATTTTCTTTTATCTTCATTGATTGGTGCTTCACCCTTGGGTCATATGGATCCCGGTGCTGTACTTCATGCCCCCTTTCAAGCTTTCTTTTTCTGCTTTGGGAGTGAATAAAGTCGTCATAATAATGTTGTCGTTCATGATGTTGTGAGTGGCGGTAGTGCTATGCCTTTGTCATTCCTGCTACTGCCATTGCTGCTGCTGCTGCTGCTGCTGACGTTGTGCTTCCATTGCTGTTGAAGTTGCTGTTGGGGTGGCTACTGCTGTAGCTGTTGATGTTGCTGTTGATGTCGCTCTTGATGTTGGGGTGGCTGCTGCTGTTGCTGGATGTGACTGCACTGCAGGCTTTGAGCAGCAAACTTGCTAAATTAGCCCATGTGGGCACGTGTTGCGTGGTGGTCTCGTGACGTATGGCAATTTGGTCTTGAGCTTACTCCTGAAATCTGCATCGTGGTAGTCTTCTGCTATTGTTGTCGAACTGCACTGCGCTAGACGGCTGACTCCAGTACTGCTGGCCCTCTACTGAGACAAGATATGTTTCCTTTTGGGGCCACTGCTTTCTCTCCCTCTCTCCCACCCTTTGTCTCAGACTCAGTCTTGAGTAGTGCATGCATGCGCTCCTAAGTACCCGTCTGTGGGTTAACGTGTTTTCATGCTACCATAACTCAGGCTGCTATTCCTGCTGCTACTACTGTTGCTGCTACAGTGATCATTCACGCTGGTGTTGATGCTTCTTCTGCCACTACTGCCACTGGTGCTGTTCATGCTGGTGTTAGTGTATTTGGTTCATGTGTTTGGTATTGTTGCTTCTGTCGCCGATCTTGCTGTACTGACTGCTATTGTGCCTCATGCCGCTCCTACTACCATAGAATCCCGCGGAGAAGCACACCCGCGTATAAGCCCATGCCTGTGCATAAGCCCAGGGTTAGTTCAAACATCACCAAGCTTCGTCGTAGAAGCCCATGGGCCTAGGTCATACCAAGTACATACTACATGAAGTTTTTTAATTTTTTATATTTTTTTATACATTTTAACACAATCATCGGTTGCTTTTGTTTGCACAGTGGTTTTATTGTATGTACTTCTCTCTTCCTTGGTACTTTTCAATAGCACAATTTTGGTGTCGGCGTATAAGCCCATACCCGCGCATAACCGCCATGACGTTTAACACCAGTAAATGCGTCCACCTACCCTTTCAAAAATATGCATTAGCCCCCGGCCCGTCATCCCCCTTGACAATGAATGGTGTGCCTATTCAGAAAGGTGATAGCCACTGTCATCTCGGCGTGACTATCACTCCTTCACTAAATTTTTCTGACCATATAAAATCTATCACCCATAAGTTTCGCAGTCGTGTTTTTCTGTTGCGCCATATGGCCCATTTCCTTTCTGCTTCAACCGTGAATTTGCTCTACAAGTGTTACGTACGACCACTGTTAGAATACGCAGTCCCTGTCTGGTCATTCGCCGTATCCCATTCAGATTCGCTTACGTTAGACCGACTGCAAGCCGTTGCTGCTCGTTCATATCTGCTTTGTAAGACCCGGCACCCTCCTGAGTGGGAAACCCCGAAGCAGATTCTTAATCGTACTTGTGACTGGTCATCCCTGAAGTGGCGTCGTCAGATTCTGTCCTTGCTGTATTTTCATCATGTCTTTTACCAGTTTCCGTCTTTGCTAATTCGTTTCAAATTCAATGTATCCCTTAGTTGTCGTCACCCGTCCTCTATAGTATTACCTCGTTCTGGCGCCCATTTCCTTAAATCCCCTCTCTTCAGTTTATCTGTGGAATGGAACAAACTTCCAGAACACATCCGCTGCGTTCAGTCCTCTGTCAATTTTCGCATTGCTCTGAAGGCTCATTACTCTCAGCATAGATATTCTCTGACTGGAATTCCGAACTTTTCCGTTTGAGAATTTTTTTTTCCTTGAAATTAATCCTTGCTGGGTTTTTTCATCTAAATGTCCCGCTATTATCTGCAGAGGTGATTTCTTCCCTCGTCGATTTCTTTCCTGCTTTTATACCTCGATATTTAGGTACTTGTTTCCCTTCTTCCCATGCTTCATCTTCCACTCTCCTCTCCCCATTTCCCCATTTTTCTTGCGATATTTATGTGGGAGACTTCCGTGATAAGCATCCATTTGCTTTTGGAGAATCCTTTTAAATAAATACAATACAATACAAATAAACCCATGTTCTCGTATAAGCCCACCGAAATGTCCTTGTGAAAGATAAGCCCATGGGCTTATCCGCGGAATTCTAAAGTAATACCTTTGCTGCCTGCTTCTTTTGTTGGCGCGAGCGTTGTTTATGATGTTGTCACTTCCGATAGTGTTGATGCGATTATTGCTGCCGATAGTGTTGATGCGATTATTGCTGCCGATAGTGTTGATGCGATTATTGCTGCCGAAAGTGTTGATGCGATTATTGCTGCCGATAGTGTTGATGCGATTATTGCTGCCGATAGTGTTGATGCGATTATTGCTGCCGATAGTGTTGATGCGATTGTTGCTGCCGATAGTGTTGATGGTGGGTTTGGTGCTGATGCTGTTGAAACTGTTAATGCAGGCCATAGTGTAGATGCGTTATTGCTGGTGATAGTGTTGATACTATCATGCTCAGAGTATCTTGAAGTATATGATTGCTAACACATGCACACTCATTTTCTGTACCTGTTTATTCATTTAGATTCGGAATATTTCACAAGCATCTCGAAGTGCTAGAGTATTACTCAGTCAACGGATCATTGGAGGACGGGGATTTCTTTTGAAAGGTAATCTGGTTATGCCCACTGCTAATGCGCCTCTGGTGTAGCTCTTGTGGTTGTTGCTAATATTACTGCTGTTACTGATGTTGCTGCTGTTGCTGGTACCAATCCTGTTGGTACTGTGGGTGCTGTTGATGCTAATGTTATAATTATATAAGTTTCCGTGCATGGCACGGTAAGTGGAGTTAGCAACACACCAACCTCCTTGCCATAACGCAACACTTGTACATGCATAACATGAATGCACTCCGAATTCCCGTACTTCCGCACGGGACAGTGTGGAGCATGTGCAGCTCTCCAGCTCTTCATGCTGTTGTTTCTTGCTCTTTGCTTTGCTGCACTGACGGTCAAATTGTTTGACAATCGCGGCCAGTTTCTGATCAATATCCGATCAACCATGTCTCTGTCAGTGAGCGATGTCCAGCCAAAATGCGCTCTGCTGAGCTGCGAAACGAACTGGCATCCCGCAATTTAGACACGACGGGAACAAAACCTACTCTGCTGACTCGCCTGCTCGAGTTGAAGTTGGCTCCAGACTACTGTACACGAGGACTTGGCTGCTCCGGCAGTGGAGCAGAACCTAGCCGAGGCAACTGCAGCCCCGGCATCCCTGGGAGACTTTAGTCGGGAGGAGGTTCGCGCTGCCCTTGGAACTCGGGCTGCAGCTCCAGCCGTGCTGACAACTCACACGCCGGCGCCTCCGATCCAAGCCCCGGCAACGTTCGTGCGGGAGCTCTCCCACGCACGGCAGGGCGCTCTGCCTGTTTTGGCTGTCGCCACGGCCACCTCAGCGCCAATGCATCCCGCAGGTAAAAAAACTTTTTATGCTACGGTGCCGAAACCCGTTCATGATAAGGTAGTGACTGGCCAGTCATTGACTCTGATTTGGTTCCTTATTGCCAAGTGACTAGTCAGTCCCAAGGGGACACCAGCCGCAGCGTTTTACAACTACCTTGACCACTACAGCTCCTACGGCCCAGTGGTTCTGGCACCTGTAAGCGGGCACTCCTGTCCAGAAGAGTCGAGGACATTGGCACCTGACTCAACGCTTGGACCACGTATTGTGCGATTTTCGCAGCAGCACACCCCTCCAGGGCCCCGGAGCTGTTTTCGTACCAGCCCATTGAAGATGGCTCGGAAATTTAGGTTCCAGGCTGTGTACAAGTACGATCGATCACTTCGCCTCCGTTTCGTAATATCCGATGCTCTGGCATTGGCATTGTGCCCAAGACGTCTGGTGGTGTGCACCTCATCATGCACCTACCTGGTCCTAGCGGCTCTGGCATTAATGACGGCCTTTCTTTTGACGAGCTCTCCCTACATTATGTCACTGTAGACGGCGCAATACACTGCATTTTCCAACACAGTCCCTGAGCTCTCCTCTCTAAAGCTGACACGAAGTATGCATGGCGGTTTTTCCCTGTTTCCCCTCATGTCTGGCTGCGGCTTGGCATTTTTGGGAAGGTTCGTACCATGTAGATAAGGCACCACCATTTGGCATTAGATCCTCCCCCTTCTGTTCAACAGACCGGCTGATGCGGACTCTCAGCCCAACGGCAACTCTGCAATGATCCTGCTAATTCTCTTACTCGTCTTTGAGTACAGCGCTTCCGGACTCTCAGCCCATCTACCGACGCAGTGCTGACACACCCAGCACAGTCCACCCTCCAGCAGTTGACGACGCAACCATGGACCTCATCCGCCAGGGCCTGGCGGACAGCTCCAGCATGACATGCGCTTCGCTGCCGCGCTCCGAATGCTTGTCGCCCTGCGCCCACACTCAGGGACTGATCAGTGCAAGCAGCATTGTTCCAGATCCTGTACTTTGAGCGCATTGCCCAATATGCTAATGGCCAGCCGCATTGGACGGCACTCGCATCAATTGCAGTGCAATAGTAGTGCAGATAAATACTATTTGGGTCCGGTTGTCAGCGCTGCCGGACTCGCAGCCCAACTGCCGAAGTGGTGCCGACACAACCAGCGCAGTCCACCCTCCAGCAGTTGACGACGCAACCATGGACCTCATCCGCCGGGGCAAGCCACACTCAGGGACTGATCAGTGCCGGCAGCATTGTTCCAGATCCTGTACTTCGAGCGCATTGCCCACTATGCTAATGGGCAGCCGCATTGGACGGCACTCACATCAATTGTAGTGTAATAGTAATGCAGATAAATCCTGTTTGGGTCAGGTTGTTGGCGCTTCCGGACTCGCAGCCCAACTGCCGACACAGTGCCGGCACAACCAGCGCAGTCCACCCTTCAGCAGTTGACGACGCAACCATGGACCTCATCCGCCAGGGCCTGGCAGACAGCTCCAGCACGACATACGCTTCGCTGCAGCGCTCCGGACGCTTGTCGCCCTGCGCCAGAGCAAGCCACACCCAGGGACTGATCAGTGCCAGCAGCATTGTTCCAGATCCTGTACTTCGTGCGCATTGCCCACTATGCTAATGAGCAGCCGCATTGGACGGCGCTCGCATCAATTGCTGTAAATAGTAATGCCGATAAATCTTGTTTGGGTTATGTTGTATTTTTGGGAGAACAGTAGGGATCGTGAGTCAGGCCGGCATTGAGCCAAGTGCGCCTATATTCGCTCACAAGTGCATCCTTTAAGCCATCCCGTAAGGAAGAACAGTAGGGATCGTGGGTCAGGCCGGCATTGAGCCAAGTGCGCCTACATTCGCTCACAAGTGCATCCCTACTGCATGCTCGTGTATTGACACGTCTGAATTCAACAGTAAGGATCGTGGGTCAGGCCGGCATTGAGCCAAGTGCGCCTACATTCGCCCACAAGTGCATCCCTACTGCATGCTCGTGTATTGGCACGTCTGAATTCAACAGTAAGGATCGTGGGTCAGGCCGGCATTGAGCCAAGTGCGCCTACATTCGCCCACAAGTGCATCCCTACTGCATGCGCGTGTATTGGCACGTCTGAATTCTCGCCGGGCAATTGCTGCCCCCGTTAGTGTCGGCATTGGCCATACTAACGCACAGCGGTGCTTGCAATACTAGCTCTGGCATTTGACCAGAATATTGCATATTGTATGCGGCAATTGTTGCCTATCTCCTGGTAATACAACGCGTAATAGCTCCCAAACAGGTCGGCTTGTTGTGTGGTTGGTAATGCCTGTTTTGCTGATGCTGCTGTTGCTACGGAAACTGTTAATGCTGTTATTTATACACATGGCTTGGATGCTGTAATTGCTTCTGATGGAGTTGATGCTGTTATGGTTGCCGATGAATGGGCAATGTGCGCCGGAGGCCTCAATATTCCTGAAGTCATTAGCACGTCGAATCAGTGAGAGGAACCATTATCTCTCCTACTCGCTGATTATGCGCCAGCTTCGTGCCTAGATTAGTGTGTGCCTGATTCGCTGGCAAATTACTTGCCTGCGGAGGTCAATACACTCATACCGCAGAAGGCTCATGGGTGTTGGTCATGGCGGCTTTGTGGTGGAATGCAGGGCCCGTGCTTACCTGGTGGTTTAGAGTGCAGGGCCTGTGCTCACCTGGCTGTTTAGTCTGACCTAACTGTTTCATGATATTGTCTGTATTTTGTTGTAGCAATCTTGCATAATGTTGGTCATAATTTGATGGTTGACTTACTCATTTTCTTTGTTTATCGCCTCTGATTTTTCTCTTGTCTGGGTTGTTGGACAAGTGGGGTTAACGGTGCTGCTTGGAAGGTGTTTGCGGATGCGGGTTTGCTCTTTGTTTTGGTATTTCCTAGTTGACTTGATTCTTTTCTTTTCTAATTGGATGTTCCAATTAATTTGATTTGATTTGTCACCATTGCTTTCTTTGCTTGCGCTCTTCGAGCTCTTCATCCCGTTAATCACCTAGTTTCCGACACCCAGTTTACAGTACATATCGCCTATAAGGTTGGCGGCTATAGTGATCAACTTCTCAAATTCTTTTTCATTTGTCATACCTAAGTATACACAGAATACCGCATATAGTAATACTCGACTATAGTAATATATCGCCCATAGTGATCAAATTTAATTTTCAAAAGACCTCTACTACATTATTTTTGCATCGGCTAAAGTAATCGATGTGGAATCAAGTGGTGTCAGAGGCGAACAGAAAGTTACTTCTTTGCGAATAGTTTGCTCAGTGTTGTTTCGTGAGTCAGTCTACCTGTTGTATTATTATTATTATTATTTGAAAGTAGGACGGAGGCACAAAATATTACAAAAAATGTATTATCTACGCATGCATCTACGCAAGAGTCACCACCAGCCAATTAGGACATGTGTCAAAGTATTGAACGCTTTCGTTCCCTTCTTGTCAAAATACTACAGGGAATGATGGAAATAAGCTAAAAGACTACAACTATAAGGAAAAGAAGTTCAGAAATATATCACTCCAATTATGTGTAGAAGTGACACGAAAAAAAAGATGTGAAGAATCAAGAAAACAGCATGCAAATCCAATAAGTGACAAAAACGTAGTGACAAGAAAAAGAGAGAAATATCAAGAGATCAAGGGATCTATTTCGCACCTTCACGACGAACAGTGACAAACAACTGCAAAGACAACACATTCTCCTTCTGAACACAAAGCTCAGGGTCTAACTTACGTATGTACAAAGCTTCCAACACGGCAAGATGTAACAAAGACCTACCACGCGACAAAACAGAGAATACATCATCGGAATACCACTCACGACAACTAGCACTGCCCGACAGGTGACACTTGATTGCCGAGGTACCGTTTCCCTGACCCAACGACTTGGCCGTTGTCACCTCCGATCCTGCCGCTTGCGAATCTCTCTTCTTATTTCCATCATTCCCTGTAGTATTTTGACAAGAAGGGAACGAAAACGTTCAATACTTTTACACATGTCCTAATTGGCTGGTGGTGACTCTTGCGTAGATGCATGCGTAGATAATACATTTTTTGTATTATTATTATTATTGCAATTTCAAATTTGGACTTCACTGAGAATTTTCAAAGTGTTAGGAAATTTGAGGCCACATGCCACGTAATGCTCTTTTCTCTCC